GAACTTAAAATCCTTGTGTTGTTTTGGTGTTGCAACTGAAATATTATTGCTAGACGTCATATAATATACAGTACTTAATTTGTATGATAGTGAGAGTTAGTCTCACCATTCAATCGGATGTGAACTGAATTTATAATTTTGGACCAAAAGATAAGTTATTTCAAGGTTTAACTAACACGTATATTATATTCATAATTTCAGTTGAAATAAGTTATTCTAGCATCAGGTGTATGGGATTACTTATCGATATCCCTCACCTATACTTTATGAGGGGTTTGGTCTAATGACAAAATTATATACTACTTATGCTATCATCTTATATAAGACAGAGTAAGTTATTTCAAGTTTTTTCTTTTGGTCCCTTATCTGGTTTTTCATGACATGAACTAACCATAGCACATGTAGTTTCCAAATAATAGTTGAAATTTGAGAAATTTCTCTTTTTATCTCCGCATAAGGTTTTCTTGAAATTCAAGAGAGAACTATAAAAAAGACAATTTTTGTACAACATTTTGAATTATAGTATTGATTATTTCATTTCATAACGAAATAAAAAATATTTAGAATTCAATATATTGCCAATCATTATACAAAATATAACTTATAATTTGTTTACAAATTGTCAATCATTTTCTTATATAAATTCGATATAAATATAAATTCAATATATTTTTCAAGTGTAATAAAAATTAGTTAATTGTTAATAACACAGAAAACTATTTGAAATAAGATACTCAATGCGTGAGTAAACTCCCGGAGCTCTTAAAGATATTATAATTATAGCTTCAATTGGTTTTATTAAAACTAAATTCTTTTGTTGTGATATTTGTCAAAATAAGTGAAAGATTTGATATTTTATGCTTTTCAATGTTAAACAAAGCAATTGTGTACTAAAGCGTTGGAATCATTCACAAAAATAGAAACTTATATTATCCACAAATAACCTCCAAATTAATTAAGAAAATAACTTTTCTAATAAAAGTGTGCCTCAAGTGATCAATAATTTTGTGATATATATTGTGAAATATATTTTTGGGAAAATACCTTTTATTTCACAAAATGGTATGTTTTCTTTAAATGTTATTTTACATATTCTGTATATAAAGTATATGAAATATTTACCGTAAAGTATTCTAGGCTTTATAAACAAATATTTTAATGTTTAATCAAGTTTTTAATCAGTTTCAACATTTAACTATATAAAAAAATAAATTAACATTACTAGTCAAAGTAACTAATTAATTTGTTTATTGATATATACTTTTTAAGAAGAACAATATCAAGGTATGTTTGATGATGTGCTAATTAAATGATTTAAATGACAGTAGAGTTTATTTATAATTAAATTAAATAACTATTAGAATATTCCAAAATTATAATTATATGACTTTAATATTTTGAAAAATAAGTTACAATCGAATCAAAACTCATTCATTAGATTGAAATCAATATATAATAATTGAATTAATTTTTATGAAATCAATTCCTTAGGAAAAGTCACTTATTTCTCATTTGATTGGATTCCAGCCTTGAATTTGCAGAAAATATAATAATTTATAATCAATTCTTAAACTAACGAATAGTCACTGAAAACAAAAATCATAGGAGTTTATATTTTCAATGTTGTGTTCATATGGTGTATGACTTGATTTCAAGTATACAGTAGTTTGTATTGTAAGTGTAAAAACATTTTTACATCAATTTCTTTGGTTTTTTTAATAATAACAACAATAAGAAAATCATTATTTGTTTTAAATTTTCCAATCAATTTAGTGACTAAAAGAACAAACAATAGTTTAATATTGATATGTAAAGCAATTACTAATCCTTTTATTAATCAACAAAACAAAAACAACAACAAACTCATCGATTCATTTAACAATCACAACAAACACATCATTAGTTAATAAATATATACTTTTCCATCACTTAAAACACTCAACTTTTGTTTAGAAAAAATATTTTATTTGATTATTACAATGAATCGTTTACTGGAAAAAGTTTTTGTGACTTCAATTATTATAATTATTGTTATAATTCATTTAATGAGTTGTGAGAAAATAATTTTAAATGATGATAATAATAATAATAATGTGAATAATTGGCAACAAGTAATGGACGCCTCATATATCCTAAGAGATGACCTGAAAGTGAAACTCATTCGACGGGTTATGCCGACAGTGAATGTGAGCGCCGGGTGTCGACAGAGTATTATCGATACATTAGAGTCATTTGAACGGTTGGAGGACTGGTCCTATGAAATGATCAACTCTTGGGGTGACTTTCCACCCAAAGGGGTTATGGAGGGCACGATCACCGACTTCGGAGACTACGACCAATGTCTGTCCATTGCTCCGAATGCCAAGATAGGCCAATCGCAATACTGTCTCGTGGATCTGGAGGTGCCAATGCCTCCACAGAGTGTACCCGAGTATCAAAACTATTTCGATAAAATAGATGTTTTGCCCAAAAGTGTCAATAAGAGTGCAAACAACATATTTGTGAAGCTATCGAAAGACGCCTCTTATTTCTATTTCTTCTTCCTGAGGACCGGTATTTGTACGCCTAATAAGTGCACTAAACATGACATCACACTTATGGTCCAAACAAGTATTCATAACTTTTCAAATGCCATTTAATTAACAAATATTCAAGAATTTAGTTCAGAAAATTTTAACTTATAATTTATATTTTTAAAGGCTTTCAAAAGACTGGTTTAACACTGAGAGAAATCTCTTGTGAAGTGAAGACATCAAAAAGTCTTAATTGGATTCAAATATTAGCAATGTAAGCATGCATTTGCTTATTCCGTAAACCTATAACTATATCATAAATTTCCAATAACAATAATGTAGTACTGAATATACTGTAGTATAGTATTTAATTTATTCAATTTTTAAAAATATTATTCATTTAATCAAGTATTGAATAATAAACCTATTACCAGTATAAGGACACAGTTTCGTTAAAAATCATCTTAAGTATTAAATATTAATTTATTTGTTTAATTTTTAACACACATCTCATAGATTTTATGTTTTAATCAAAAGAATATTTGATTACTAATACTGTAATCACATTATTTATTCAGAATATTTAATGCTTTACTTAAGTTGAATATGTGTAAATGCATAAACTGTTGTCAAATATAAAGCAACATTGGCTCAAAGACTTTGTGTAAAACAAAAAGATTTGATTTATTGAAAAGATATGTTTAGTTGAAAGGTTTATTTAAAATTATAAATTGTAAATTGCTTAACTCATTAAATTAAATGCCATGTAAGTTGTATTAAATGAATAGTTAATTAAACATGCAATACAAATACAAATACAAATATTAAAATCTATCATTTGAGGGTTAGTTAATTGACCTCTAAATTTTTAATTTAATAAATATTATATTTCACTCAATTATTTAAATACTTTTATTGAAGTTAACGTTCTAGATAATTGGGTATTATAAACTTATTAATCAAGATCAAATTTCAAATAAGACTAAATTACTTTTCAAACTTAAATCACTTACGATCGTTAGATTCAAATCATATTTGTATATTTTTGTATATAACATAAAACTAATATTTATATTAAAAATATTTTTAAAAACAACTTTATTTACAGATCTGTTTTCGCTGTATTCCTTTTGAAAGCTATTTTATCGACAATTTTATTACGAATTATAGAAAATCCTAAAAGTAAGTCAATAAAACATTTACATATATTAACATCATTAATTAATTCACAAGATAAAAGTATTATGATTATTTTAAATAAAAATATGCCTGTGAATTTAAATCTGGAATTTAAGTATTGATATACTGGTCGTAGTAAATATAAACATATAAACAAGTAGAGATTTAATAAATCATTTATAAATGAATACTGAAATAACTTTCTGATCAAACTAATAATGCATAACTTATGCTGTATATTATTTTATATTTTTAGTAGTTAATATAGAATTTTAATGCTATTTCAAAATACTGTATAAAGATAAATTATTTTACATTTAAAACAATATTTTATTTTATTTAAAATAAATATTAATTCTCTAAACATAAATATTTTTCTTTTTCAGAAAACTCGCGATTTATATATTTTTTAGAGGCATTTAGTTTTGAGCATAACTTGAGAAAAGTATTATCTTCGGAGTCAAATCAAGAGCTTTCATGTATTCATGGCATCAGATTTATTACTATTATCTGGGTTATTTTTGCCCACACTATTGACTGGACATATTGGGGAATATTCCGTAAGTTTTGACGCATTTCAAAATTTGTAATAATTTGAATTATAAATATACAGGTATAAAACTTATGTATATTTTATAAATAAATTGTGTTTTTACTGCATTTGCATTTCAAATATAATATAAATACCGTATATTGAAATCTAAACTAAAATGCAATTTTAAATTTCAAATTAAAGGAAAGTCGTTTGAAATGAAATATTTATTGACTGCACCGGAAAATCAAATATTATTGCAAGCATTCTATAGCGTTGACACATTCTTTCTGATCAGGTAAATACAGTACAATACATGTTCATTTCAATTGGTTTAATACTGAGTTTAATTATTTTAAAATTTAATACATTATTCAGCGGTATTTTGACAACTTATATAACATTGAAATTCACGGATAGAAAAGCAAAAAATTTCAGTTGTATTGGATTCCTGTTATCACGATATATAAGACTTACGCCACAAATTGTATTCTTCATTATATTCACATCTGTATTACCACTGTTTGGTTCAGGACCAGTTTGGGACCAACACATCACGCCTTTAGTGGAAAACTGTCACCAAAATTGGTGGCAAAATATTATATATTTGCAAAACTTCATGAATGCCGATGGCTTTAAAATGGTATTAAATTTGGAAATTAGTAATTTGACTGTGTTTTATTGGTTATTAATGTAATAATAATGTGTAATAGTGTGGTTTGCATACCTGGTTCATTGCTGCCGACATGCAATTTCATTGGATTTCACTCATTGTGATGATAGCACTGCACCAGAGGGTCAGACTCGGCCTCACTGTCAACGTCGCTCTCATTATAGCGTTTTGTGTGATTCCGGCCACTCTTATATTCAGGAATGGATACCCGCCCTCTCATATCCTTACAATGAGAAGGTAGTGCTCGCCATTAATGACTTTACTTAATTAATTAATTACTTACTTTATTATATTTATTAAATATTATATAAATATATCATATTATATATATTTGACAGCGATTTCTTGCTATCGAAAGGGGATGGCTTCAAGAGTTTTAATCACTTTTTCTGGAGTCCGTGGTCTCATGGAGTGGTCTTCTTTATAGGCCTGGCCTTCGGTTATGTTGTTTATCAGATGCGCACAAAAAAATTATCCACAGTTAGTATTAGTACAGTATTCATGTACTTCATCATCATTTTGTTTATCCACTTTGAAATTCTCTATAAATTCACTTAATTACAAATACTTTTAGAATTTTTAATTATATTTTTTGTTTTAATTACTATTCATAAAAACATTTTCCCTCAAAACGAGTTTTTTAAATTTTGAATGATTTGTGTTTCTCTAAAAACAGACGAAGAAATGTGTGATTTGGGGCTCACTTCTGGTCAGTTATATGTATATATTCTACGACAGCATGTTGTGGGCGTACGGACACACCTACGGCCAGTCGTTCACACCTTTCACCGCTGCCCTACTGTACCCGTTGAAGAAGGTGTTGTGGGCCCTCAATCTGACGGCCATCATATGGATGTGTATCACAGGGAACGCCACTTTCATCAACAAATTCTTGTCATTTAGAGCATTCATACCACTGTCACGACTCACTTACTCTGTGTATTTGACTCACGCGTGGATCGTATGGATCTATTGGGGCTCTAAGAGAGATCTCATTGATATGAAAAACTTCACAATACTTTCGCTCACTTCAAGCGTTATTCTCATATCGTTTTGTATGAGTATTGTCTTCTCAATGCTTTTTGAAGCGCCCTTTTTTGCACTTCAGTCCTATTTGAAGGAGTATTCAAGCGATCAAATCAAAAATACTTTATTGAATAAAACTAATAATAATTCCGCAAAGTTTGAGGCTTTCTATAGGAAACCACTCAATGCTTCCAATAATAATGATTCTCACGAAATGACTGCCAATGTCTGACAAATTATAAACACAGTATAATAATTATAATTATTATCGACACAACTTAATTCTGTATTTTTTATACAGAACTCATTTTAAATATATCAGAACATTTAATGCATTTTTTATTGCAATTTTACAATTTATGTTTCAAATGTATTTAATATTCTTGTACGATATAATCATTCCCTCAAACGCCTAATTGATTGCTCAACAATTTGAATGTAAATAATTCCTATAAATATTACATGTATTCATAAATTAATTTTCATTTTATACCTGATTTTAATTATTTATATTTTATTTTATACTGCAAAATACAATTAATGAAAAATATCTCACTAGTAACATATTTTATAAAAATATTAAAACTAAAATTATGCAATTATCATCTTTTGACAATTTATATGAATGTGATATAAAATAAATAAATTTCAATATAAATTTAGTATCAATTGATTTATATTTTAAAAATCTAATAAATTCAAAAATCATTTACCGGTTTGTTACTAACCCGTAGGTCTCAGTCGTCAACCCTATCAGTGCTCTGTTTCACAACATTGCATAAAATGTAGAAATGATGTCCGACCTTATAAATGGCACTTCATTAATATTATTCTATTAGTTCTATCAATTCGTGGGGAAAGGCATCTAAAAAGAGACTGTATTAACGTTCAATTTTTGTTGTCAAGGCTAATAGTGAGTGAACAATGACCAAGGTGGTTAAAACAATTTCTATAATAGGAATGTAGATAGAATATTTACCTTAGATTATGGTTTGCTTTATTTGGATAAAATTTGTCTAAAAAGTAGACAAATATTTACAAATGAATTCATTTGTATATTTGAACTCCGAATAAAGAATTATTATTTACAATGATTTTCAAAACACATTTCACTTTCTTATAGAAATACATTTTAACATTTTCTTTAAGTTATTTTGAAATCAATCAATTTGTTGATTAAATATTATATAAATTATTTATGTTTTAAAATTTGGAGAAATTCTAATGACTACTAATTTTTTTATATTATCGAAGGATTGAAAAAACTAACCACAAATAGTATATATAAGTAACTAAAAGTTAAGTTAAATTAGTTTTTATCACTTTTCAAGTCATCCCTACTATTTGCACGCAATCGTTGATGAGCTGTAAAAACATTTAAAATTTCTAAAATGTGTATAAATTACATGTAAAATAACATTATCACTTTTATTAAATTCATTACTTATGTTTTAATTTTAATTTGACTTTTAGTTTTGTTCACATTTTGTTGTAATAAAAGTTTTATAAAGGATTACACAATGGTTTGTAAAATGGAAAATTATATTTATTAATATAAACTTGGTACAAACTTTAATCTTTAATTTAAATTTAATTGATTTAACCAATTTTTCAAATCATATAATTAACATAGATTATATTAAAATATTTTAGACATAAATTAGTTTAGATTAATTATTTTAGGTTATTGTAGTAAATCCAAGTTCATTTTATATGATTTATATGCTAATAACTTTAGCAAACTCTCGATAATATAATATTTGTGTTAATACCAGTATTACTTAACTTTAAATCACCTTTTTATGCATTGAATTAATATCATAGAATACTATATAATAATATAAATATGACATTTTTGAGAACTATAGATTACTATTATATAAATGGTATTTAGCTTATTGTATAAATTATGAAATAGTAAAAGATTATTATTATTATAATAAATTAAAATTACGTCAAAAAGAAATAATAGTTATATTTGAAATATTTTAACAAATTAAAAAGTTGCGAAAACAATATATTCTTTGAAAGTATAATAAATATATTATACACTTTGACAATAAAAGTAAATATTATATTTGCTTACATTTTTAACAACACTCTGTTATAGACAATGACTTAGTGACGACAATAGTTTAAGATAGAAGTTCTAGAAAGTAAGTTTGAAACTTTGTTATAATAAGTGTTGTCAATATGTTAACTCAATTTTATTGATATTTGCTCCTAAAATTTCAAGTATTTTGAAGTTTGATTGCAAATATATTTATAATTCTTGTTATTTTTATATCCAAGGTTCAAATCGTATAAATTATATAAAATTATTCTGAATATTCTGGATATAAATAGAGATTTATTGGCAAATTGAGCCATTTGTGCTGTGGATTCATTTAAGCAATGATGACAAACCTCATTTTGCTAATAGTGTTATCATTTAATTTTGTGTCTATTTATTCATACAATAATTGGGAACAATTAATCAAATCAATTGAATTAAATAAACAAGCTTATTTAAATGACAATATTAAATACTTATTCAAAAATGGTGCAAATTTTAATGTTTCAAAACAATGCAAAGAAAGTATAAGAAATAGTTTGATTGCATTTAACAAGAATGAGGACTGGATTTATAAAATGTTGAATTCGTGGCCAGAGTTGCCTCCGACAGGATTTCTCAGCGGAACTCTCACTCATTTCGGTGATTATGATCAGTGCCTTAATATACCTCCCAATCCAGTGATCGATACGCCACAGTATTGTCTCATCGATATATCACTACCTCTTCCCAAACCAATTGGCAGTCATCACAGTTTTTATCATATCGTAAATGTATTGCCACCAAAGCTTAATAATAGTGTCGCCAACAATAATGATGACAACGTTTTTGTCAAATTCTCCAAAAATGCCTCATTTTTCTACTGGATGTTCATTAGACTTGGCATATGTGTGCCCAACAAGTGTCTACCCTCTGATGTCCACAATATAGCATATTCTGGTGAATTGTTTTTTTAATATTAAATTTGCTAGCTTATCACCATTTTATGTATTACAGTTATTAATAAATTTGGATTAAATTTAAAAACGATCAGTTGTGAACAAAAATCTGTTTTAAAATTTGATGTTACTCAAATCATTGCACTGTAAGTCTTATAAAAATATATGCTCCACCTAATATAATTTACAAAACAATATGTCTTGCAGAGTATTTGCATCAGTATTTGTATTCATCACAATATTTTCTGCTATTTATTTGAAATATTTTCCTCTAAATAAAGGTAAGAAATGATTCACAACTAAGGATTGATTGTTTAAATCTATTTTATATTTATATAACAAGCAAACTGCATTTATCGAATTATTTTCAAAACGTTTTCAATAACAAAAAATACAAAAAAGTTGTTTTCAACAAAATCTCAACAAGAGATTAGTTGTATTAATGGTATCAGAGTTTTGACAATATTTTGGGTCATTTTTGGTCATACCATCGAATGGACTTTTCTCGGATTTTATCGTAAATATATTTTTATTTCATTTTATATATTATTTTGAAATTCTAGCTTATTTGCTAAATTAATTAATTGTTGAATAGATACCTAATGTTAAAATATTTGAAAATAACTTATAACCCCTTTAAACAGAAAAGGTGTTTCGGATGAAAACCGTTTTAAATGAGCCCTTAAACCAACCTTTCCTTCAGGCCTACTATTCGGTGGAAACCTTTTTCTTTGTCAGGTATTGTCTATAAACTATATATGAATTGTTCGCTTCAGAAGTACAGTATGTTCTCTGATATGCACTGCTATTGCTTTAACATAAAGCAGTGCATCTCAAAGAACATACTTTTGTAGACACATTCATATATACAGTATATTATAGTTATTGTTATAAAGAATAAAGAAATTATAAAGAATATATATTCTTAATATCAGTAGCTAGAATACGATTCAAATGTGTGTTTTTTCTAAAATATTTAAAACACTATATCTTATGTATATTTTATATTCAGTTAGCATGTTTTAATTTTTATTGAAAAAACACATATTTGAATAGTATTCTAGCCACTGAAATCAGTTTTAATTTTTTTTATAATTATTTAGTGGCTTATTAACTACTTATATAACAATGAAATACACGAATGGAAAGTACGACAAATTCAATTCACTTGGATTCTTGATATCGAGAATTATTCGTTTATTGCCTCAAATGGCTATATTTATTTTATTGACCATGCTATTGCCGGTGCTGGGGTCGGGACCCATTTGGGGCACACATATTGGTAATATTGTGGACAATTGTCGTATTAATTGGTGGCATAATTTACTATTCATGCAGACATTCTTGAGCGTAGATCCCAATGAAAAACAACTAAACATGGTATTTACTTCGTTCTTGACATTCAATAATATAATAGCGTACATTGAGTCTATTAGAGAATATAATCTTTATTCATTTATAAAGAATGTTAATGAGGATCAGCTTATATTAGTTAATATAAAATTAATATAATAATATTCTGTTTTGAATAAACTCACAAATGTATGCATTTATAATAAGTGTTATAATATTATTATTGTAAAGCTTATTTCAAGAAGATATTTTGTAAGAGTTAGAAAATATAAGCAACATGTTTAAGCTATCATGAAATAATTTCTTAAATATTATAACCGTAAATATAATAGTATTTATTAACTTTTTAAAAATATACTGAATATGAGAATTGTACTTTCTAAAGTAGCTTTTCTCAATAATTTATATGAATATAAAATTAAAATTTTCTATACAATAAATTTTTAAATGTGTTCATTTCAAAATTTATATAGATAAAGGAGAAAAGCTATTTTAAAAGTACATTTCTCATATATATATAATACTAAATAATAGTCATTGTATAAAAAACATTGAAATTGGAACTAGAAATAGTTGTTAAATTGTTTAATTTAGAAACATAAAATTAACATTTAAACTGCATATTTTCCCAAAAAAACATAATCTTAGATAATGAACAGTTTAATTTATAAGATTAATGATCGTCCAAATAGTGTGCACTTCACACCTGGTTTATAGGCACTGATATGCAATTGTTTTGGTTATCGCTGCCCATAATTGTGTTACTTCTGAAGAATAAGAGACTTGGACTCGTTGTCAGCCTTTTTACAATTTTGGGATTCAGTCTCCTGTCAGCTATATTAATATATATGAATGATTACCCGCCCGCACATATATTTACTACTAAAGGGTTTGTTGTATTTTATATTTATACATCAATTTAAACCCGTTTAACCAATTTATACATTTTTATAGAGATTTTATGTTTGATGACAAAGAATGGAATAACTTTTTCAAATTGTTTTTCTGGAAGCCATGGCCACATGTTGCCGTTTATTTCACCGGGTTCATGTTCGGTTATATATTAACTAAATGCAAAACACGCCCAATTAATAATGTAAATATATTTTTAAATAATATATAATATTTAACCTCTATTAATATCATATACGCTAACTATTAATATTATTTATGTCACATGACTATTGATAACTAAATAATCTTAAATGAGTATTCATTAATAAAACATTAATAATAAGTTTTTAATCATTATAAAGTTATACAATATAATAAATCGATAAAATAATTTATTTGAATAGAAAGCAATAATCTGGTTGTTTGTGAGCATCGGCTATATAATATGCTTTTACGACGTGATGTTTTGGTGGGAGGGTCAGCCTTATAACCCAATGATATCGGCAATTTTATACCCCCTCAAGAAACTGATATGGAGTGTAAACCTATCGGTGATCATATGGTTGTGTACGACAGGAAACGGTGGATTCATCAACACATTACTGTCGGCAAACATATTCATACCGTTATCCCGATTAACATATTCCGTGTATTTAACGCACGCATGGATTGTATGGATGTTTTGGGCCTCACGTCGCGATTTGGTTGACATTAACTTCTTCTCCATAATATCCATATACCTAACTGTCCTCATCGTGTCTTACTTAGTCGGCGCTGTATTTTCCCTATTATTTGAGGCACCTTTCCTTAAATTTCAATCCTATCTTAAGAAATATTTTTTGGATTACAATCAAAACTGTAAAGCAGTGAATAAAAATGGGGACACTTTTATCACTGATATTGACTTAAATCAGAATTTTGTCTCTAAATTATAATCATTCAAATAATTTATAAATTAAATTTGTCAAATATTTATAAAAATAATTTGGATTAGGGTTAATATGTTTTGTTTATATTAATGAATGAATGTATATTTTGTTACTACATATTTATTATAATTATATGTAAAAACGGTGTTAATGAGCCATTAATTTAATCAAAATAAAATATTCTTAACAAAACCAATAGATTTAATATTTTATATACAAATTATTTTAAAGATAATTTAGATAAAATTTTTTAAAATGTCAATGAATTGATCAAAATATATAATAAATAGTGAAATGAAATAGTAAAAACACTAGTAGTGTTACACTACAGTATTTGAGATAAATTTAAATTAATTGATAGTGAATTTTCACATTTAAGGCATTAATGTATTAAAATGCAAGTATAGACTAATGTGTTGCATGCATGGCCTGCAGGGCAGAGTTCTGTGATGCAGGGCAGGGTATACTTGAAGGGCCTGCAGGGCAGGGCAGGGTGTCATTAGGTAACTTTTGGGCCTCAACCCCCCACGGACGGCCAGTCCCGGAACCCTCCACTCCAGCCCTACCCCCTCTCATACGACTTAGAAAATCTATTTTAAAAATTATTTAGATATAGGGGGATACATAAGACTAAAAATTCGCCTTATGAAGATTTTCTAGGCACTTTTCTATATGCAGGCCAATGCAGGCGCCTGCAGGGCAGGGCAGGCTGCTAAATTTAATATATTGAAACACACTAGTGTAGACCGTAATACCAACCCTATATACAGTACTGTATTAGACATCATACGCAAAGTACGTACGCAAATTTTGATCAAAAATTGACCCCCCCACCTACACACCCATTGTACATAGGAGTTCAACATGGTGGTATACGCTTTGGCTGACCCCACCCCCCTCCTACGAGTGCTTACGTACTTTGCGAATGACGCATTTTGTTTGTATAGTTAATACAAAACACTGACATGTGAGTATTACTATTATTAATAGCATTGATACCATACTTTATAAAGGGTACACAATTGAGAACATTGAGAAAATTCCCTTAAAGTATATTTATACTGTATATCTGTACAAACATTATATTCAAAGCCATTTCACATGCATTATAGAAAGATATGAAAATTACAAAAATTAAATTATAAGAAAACCATTTGATCTTTAAATCAGATAATTAAATCTCAATGCCTTTTAAGACATTTGTACACATTTCGGTATTTGGTGTGTAAAACAGTATTTTATAGTCTTTAATAATAGATCGATAGTTAAGATAAACTCTATTTTCCCAAAAATACGCAAAATTATTAGTAAACCCCTATTTGATCATATTTAGCCACAAATATGACATTTAAAAATTATATTAAATATAATACAATATCATAATTATTATTCTGTAATATGAAAAATTTTATATATTGCCGAAGGATTTAATATCTTTCAAACTTTAATTGTTTTATACTTTTCCTAACTTTATCTAAACCTAGTCCTGATATTCTCATTGATATATAATGACTTAGATAAAGGTCTTTGTAATAATTTAAGTGTTGTTTAAATTATTTAATAAAATTATCATTATTCTTTATATACTGTATATCGTATAATAAGTAATAGGTTTCAAATAATTATAAGGAACTAAGTTATCTTCACATTCAATGTTATATTTGATTAAAAGTATTGATTAAAATCTGTTTTTTAAAAATTACTCGGTAGTTAAACATGAGTTACGATTTTGTCACAAATCAATTTCATCAAAAATATTAATATCACAATAATTAAAATCAATATTTTTTAAATGCAATTATTAACTTAATTAAAATAAAATATTGTTTATTATAAACATTGCTTTATTTAATATATAATCGATAACATAAGAAACTATTTAACTTAATAAAAGTATGTAATAGATTTAATACACACTTTTAATATTTTTTGGTTTGAAATTTTATTAAATCAGTTTAAAAAGTTACTCCTTTATGCCATATTGTATAATAATAGGTTTAATTTACATATTTAACGTTAATTTACTTAAGTTTACACAGGTTTACATAATTATCCTTAAATAGACATAAATATTAATTATATATAAAATTAATTTAATTCTTTATTTAAGTTTTAAAATGGAAAGATATTATTAAAAATTAATCATATGTGAGAGGTATATTCAATTTAAAGACAACAGTTTTGCTTTGAAAACTTAGTAATGGAGATCTAAATCACAAATTAAAAGCTTACGCATACAGTATAAAAATAATTATTGAATTATCTATGACTGAGTATGGTATATTAGTATGATTAAAGTAAGCTTATTTTTATACTGTATGCGTAAGCTTTTAATTTGTGATTTAGATCTCCATTACTAAGTATTCAAAGCAAAACTGTTGTCTTTAAATTGAATATGCCTATCACATATTTTATTTGTTATCTTTCAATATTTATTAATTAACTTACTTATTGTACTTTGATTTATGGTTGTATAATATCTTATATTTCTTAGAGTTTCAAATTAAAAAAATTGAAGGATAT